TGATGTAACTATTCATTACACTAAATGAAGCTACTTTTTTTACAGAATATTGTGTGGAAAAGAAGAGAGAGGTTAGACTCAAGGGGTGATGGAATTGTTCTTATTTGTGCCTTTTACTGCCAGCGAGTGGTAGTGTAGGTCCCCAGCCAAACTAAAGAAAGTATTTCTCCTTTCTCTAGCTCCTTCTGCAAACATTTGTTAGGATATATACTGGTATATTAAAATGTGTACATAGAATAAATATAAGCAGTTACATCAATGTGTGTTTTGATCTTAAGGCATATGTTGGGAGACTGATGTAGACAAAGACAAATTGTTTGCACTACTTCTTTCAACTCTGTTTACAAACTGTAAAATAACACCAATAATGTAGAGTTAGCTCATTATGACTAGTTTATTTTTTGTTGAAGGTGGATTGATATTTCTATTACATGTAATTCTGGCCTATCAGACGTTTGCGCTAGAAATGCCAGATTTTTACTGTCAATATTTCAATACTAAGCCTTTGTTCCAACTAAATTTGCCACAATGAAGCCTTGGGGTTTTCCTTGAGTTGAATGTTAATTTATTATCTGTTTAATTTGGGTAAGAAGCAGTCTGTCTTACAAACTAAGATTGGGATAATGTGTGGAACTGTAGAAGGTTTAAAATAAATCTTCCATTTAGTTGAAGTTAGCTTGTGGGGATGAGTTCTTGTCTGCTGGTACTAACAATTCTTTCTAGAATCTACAGCCAGGCAGAATTTTATAAGGGTCATGCAGGCCCAGAAAGCTTTTGAAATTGTGAGATCTTGGGCATTGGCACCCTTAAATGGCTATTGGGGTTTAGGATTAGGGTCCCTTCTTCTGTCAGTCTCTGCCAGCTAATCTCAGGAATTTTCTAACAAAGCAGTCTGCCATCACAGAACTCCTTTTCTGACTAGTCACTGCTAGCAGAAATAATAGAGAAGAGATGAGGTGAGGGTAGAGCTGAGCTAACATCAAAGTCAGGACATAACCATAGTGTTGGATCAAAGTTGGGCCAGGGAAAACATAATCCTAAAAAATTTCTTACATTCCTTAGACTAAGCGGGGTTTGAAGTTAGCATGACATTAGATGGCCTATTGTTGGTTCAGCTGGCCCTTAGCCATTTAGTAATCGCACTTTACCCAGAGAAGATGCTGAAAGTGTGTGTGCTCTGATTTTGAAGTCATACATTCTAATCAGAGTCTTAAGACAGTGGGGAGGACTTAACTGAATTAAGTTCTACTAGGTACATTTCTGGGATTGCTGGAACAAACAAACATGTATTGGCTAGTTCCCGCTGTTACTTTTGAAAGCATAGTTATTGTTTGGATTTGTGTCTAATACAGATGTTTCTTGACAGATGGAGACCAACAGTAAGGTGAAACATAGCAGTTTTATGTTAACAGAGTTGCCATTTAATTTGAGGGGAGAGGGTAGTAAGAAAAAAAGAAATCAGATTGAGATGATGTTACTTACCTGTGCAAGTAACCAAATTTTCAGGTGTTCCACACTTTTCTTCAGTTAAAGAATCCTGCATCAAAATGACTAGTTTGGTAACTCCCAAATTGCACAATGCTAGACAAATTATTTCATAAGAAAAATAAAATTACACAGTTACATTAAACATTAAAAAGACTAAATGAGTGTAAAACCAATCTCTTCATTAGGCAGGTTGTTAAAAATAGTGGATTGTTGGGTTATGTCTGTGGATAAAATACAGCTAAAGTGAATCTCCTCCACAGTTTCAAGGAGTGTTTTGATTCTACTTGGTGGCCAAGGTTTCATTTTTGAACATTTAAAAAAATACTTTTTTTCAATAAATACTTTATGTAAGAAGGGTGAAGATAATAATCATTACAGAAAGTTCTGAAATCCTGAGTGGAGAAATTACTTGAAGGTATTGACACCTTAAATGTTATTTTTGAGGAGACATTTAGAAAGACGTTTTCAGATTTCAGGGAAATTATATTTGGTAGGTCAGGGTGGCAAATCAGATTTAAAGGTTTGCAGGGCAAGATGGATGGATGGCATCCTTGACGTGACTGGACTGACCTTGAGGGAGCTGGGGGTGGTAACGGCCGACAGGGAGCTCTGGCGTGGGCTGGTCCATGAGGTCACGAAGAGTCGGAGACGACTGAACGAATGAACAACAACATTGTGGGATGAGGAAAAATGTCAAATTCAGAGTATGATTCTGTTACCTTTCTAGCCCCTAAATATCAAAATGGAAGAAAAATAACATTGTGGCCATGATTTACTAAATTTGCTGGATTGTTCATTTCAGGATTGTTTTTAAAGGTAGGAAGGATAAGTAGCTTATCAGTCTGTATTGACTCATTGGCTTTCCTGGGAACTATCCCACGTGCCTGCTGAGAAGCAGCTTTAATATTTGTGTCAAAAGGATTTCTTCGCTACTGCACTTCATTACATCATGCACAATTACGATGATGACTCTAGTTCTACTGTAATAGCTAGAGGGAACCTAAAATGAAGTCAACAACCAAGAAGAGTCTGCTCAGGCTGCATACAGATGAAGAAGGGCAAAGTTTTGGTTGAGTACAGTGAGCCTGCCATATCTGTGGGGGTTCAGTTCTGGGATGTTGCATATACAAAACAATTGATCGTGGAGCATATTATTCAGCATATCCGCATTCCCATCACCACCATTTCCTAATATGGGGAGCAGTGTTCCAATTTCACGGGAAAACATGGATCCAGGGGTCAATTGTATGTTGAAGATCCAGTTACTTTAAATGCCCATGCTCTTCATGTGAAAGTTTACTCTTTTAATCTTAATTTAAAAGGAGAATGTATTCCACCAAAGGAATTTACTCTTTTTAAAATACTGAGATGCCAGGCATACTTTTCTGAAAAATGGTGATGCTCTAGCTTCCTGGATAGTTTTGAAATGGTTTTAAACAATTGATTTTAAAGTAGATGTAATCTGATTTTAATGTTTGTGTATATTTTTAGTTATTTTACATTCTGGCATGGAATGCTTGCCCTGAGTCCCCTTTGGGGTGAGAAGGGCAGAATATAAATGTTTCAAATAAATTATATATATCATATATCATATCATATCATAGATCATATATACACACATACACATACATACACACACACACACACAGTAGCGGAAAGTGAGCTTTTGGTTCAAAATTGTGTGTTCTTTACTGTCCTGTGTAGTTCTGGTTTGGTCATTAATGTTACAAATTAGTTTACCTTGCTCTGATAACATTCTTAGGATTCAAAACTGAGGTTTGCATACAGCTGTTTTATTTAGTGTTTGGGATCCTCCCTCCTTTTGTATGTACCATAGTTTTCATCCAGAATGTTGATGAAAGTGGTTGTATGTTTCAGTGAAAAATAGATGCGAACTGGGTACTGTGTTTGCATTTATAACTGGATTGAGGTCACTTATGTTGATGTTGAAGTAGCAAACAATGTAATTTAACTTGCTTTGTCTTTCCTAAGAGAGAAGCAGGAAGGAGCCTCCCCCCCCCCCCATTGTTTTGGACAGTGTTGCTTATGATGACCCCATGCATTTCATAGGGTTTTCTTAGGTAAACAGTATTCTGAGGTTGTTTGACATTGCCTTCCTCTGAAATTTGGTATTAATTGCCAATTACCCATTTAAGTACTAGCTAGGGCTAGTTCTGCTTATTTTCTAAGACCTTTTGAGTATTGATGCAAAAAATCTGAAAGACCAGAAGTTAACTCTGTTCTTACCTTTATATGTACCTTTAGTACAATTGTCCAAATCATTGAGTCATTCTGTTCTGTTATTCCATCTGAATAAAGTACTGAAAATGGCCAGGGGATAATTGTAATGATCAAGAGGTTTTTTAATGACAAAAGTCTAAAGTGTTTAGGGTTTTCATGAAGTGGGAAACCATTGTAGGGAAGCTGTTTTTGGCGGTTGGAAACAACAGGCAGAATTTTCTTCTATTTAAACTAGAATTAAGGGTGTGTATAAAATCTGTGTGCCTTGTTGAAACAGGGCATTTTTGATAAAATAATACACACTTGAATTGACATGTTTTGGATGCTTTGCTTTATGTTCCTTTTTTGTGATATTCTCCAATTTTGAGGGCACTTTAAGAGAACATCTGAACCAGGATATTACTTCTGGTAGTGAACAAACCCCCTCATATACATCTGTTTCACCAAATTCTTAATTTTTAACAGAACTCTTTTAGAAATTCTAAAGTTCCAATCAAACGTTTAATTTGGTTTTTTCCTCCTTACGTGGTTGTCATGTAAAGGGTATTTTTAGTCTATCAGAAGATGCAACTACTAGACCCTTTCCCTTTTTAGACTTGGTAAGAGCATGACTCCTTTACATGACCCTATCTTTCAAAACACATTCATCTGAGCTAGCAAATTGATTTGGATTCAGGACAGTGGAAAGATGAGATTTGAGTTTGGTTCTAATTGACTACTGGAGAAAATATTTATCTGACTTGTTTTTGGGTTTGAGTGAAGTTGGGTTTACTGATGTTGACCGTGTTTCAGCAGCTGTACTGCTAGCTGTGACCCTTGGCCTACATCATAGTTACCATTTGTATGATATAGAATACTTTTGTATGACCTTTTCCTCTTCCATAATCTGGTTTTCACATTGATGTTCACATTCCTTTCCCCCTTTCATAGCATGTTATTCATATTTCATCTTTTCATTCTCCTTGAGTTATGAGAAAGTTGGGGAAGCTCTGGATATCAATTCTCAGAAGCAGCCAGCCAATGGAAAACAATTATGCAAGATGTAATCAAGAACATCTGGATAGCCAAAGTTTTCCTAATTATGCCTTATCATGTTTGCTCAAAATTTTGATGTCTATTTCCTTACTGCACTCCCTTCCTGTTTTATACCTGTTCTATACTTGTATAAGAGGCCACCTCTATGAAATAAAAAGGAACTATGCTTGCATAGGTTTTTTAAATACTCTTCAGCTTCAGTAGTACTTATAAACCTTTCTGTGCTTTTTTTTTAGGCTGCCCTCTGGCGAGGCAGTAGGAGACAGCAGAGCTGGCCTCTGCAACGAGAGAGGCTGGACTTCCTGTCTCTCTGTGCTGAATGGCTACTATGGCGCCCGCTCTCACTGACGCAGCAGCTGAAGCTCACCACATCCGGTTCAAACTGGCTCCCCCATCTTCCGCCTTGTCTCCAGGCAGTGCCGAAAACAACGGCAACGCCAACAACATCCTTGTCGCCACGAACGGCACCAAAAGGAAAGCTGAGGATTCTAGCCTAGATTTCCGAAATAACTCTGCTAAGGAAGAACTGGGGAAATTGCAGCCTCTGGTGGCATCTTACCTCTGCTCGGATGTAACCTCGGTTCCTCCGAAGGAGTCATTAAAACTGCAAGGGGTCTTCAACAAACAAGCAGTCCTTAAATCTCACTCTCTGTTATCACACCCCTTCTTGAAAAGTAGTGACCTGTTGGGGAGGCAACCTGTGTTTTCATTGGAAAACCTAAAAACCATGAGTACTAGTAGCCAAACACCTTTGCCACAAGCACCAGTCAATGGCTTGGCTAAAAAGTTGGCTAAGAGCAATAGTTCTGATCATGAAAACTCGGCTTCACTTAATGGAGGGAAGCGTGCTCCTCCTTCCATAGCCCTTCAGGATGTTGATTCAGATACTCCTGGGGGTTCCGATGTGGGGAATCTGAAATCGGGTTTGACCAATTGCACTCTTCCTCACAGAAGCCTTGACACAGCTCCAGTTAGCAATAATGGCACTGCAAATAAACGTATCCCCAATTCACCAGTGCAACAGCAGCAGCAGTATGGGCTTGAAGGGGATGGAGAGAGCAGGTGGGTGTTATCTGGAGTGCCTGGGGGTTCTGATCTTGGCAGCAATAAGCCAAGAGAAGAGCAGAAAGCTTCGCTGCCAAACAACTCTCATAATGCTTTGGATTCAGATATGAGGACAAGGGTGCTGTTGCGACGGCAGGCAGACATTGAGAATCGTGCTCGGCGGCTGCAAAAGCGCTTGCAGGTGGTGCAGGCCAAGCAGGTGGAGCGGCACATCCAGCAGCAACTGGGTGGCTTCTTGGAGAAAACCCTCAGCAAGTTGCCAGCTTTGGACTCCCTGAGACATCGGAGTCAGCTAATGCTGACCCGCAAGGCAGAAGCAGCTTTGAGAAAAGCAGCAAGTGAGACAAGTACTTCAGAAGGACTGAGTAGCTTCTTAAAAAGTGGCTCCATCTCAGAAGAATTGGAGAGGTTTACTGCCAGTGGGATGGCTAACCTACGGTCTTGTGAGCAAGCGTTCGACTCAGATGTCACAGACAGCAGCTCAGGTGGGGAGTCAGACATTGAAGAAGAGGAACTGACCAAAGCAGACACTGAACAGCATCATGTACCACTGTGAGTATCATCTGTAATTTCCCAGGTTGGGAAAGGTGCAGTTACAAAGCTTACCACTAAGTTTTAAAATAAGAAACCTGTTTATTTGCATTGCATGTTGAGAAACAATAAACATAAAACAGAATTCCTAAATTGCAGGGATATTGAACACATAGTTGTCATTATGCCTTACTACTGAGTGTGCTGTCTGATGGGCTTTTCAGTTGAATGACATCCAGCGGCTCATAAATCCTGTACTTTTGCTGAAATCAGAAGGTGGCTTCTACTGGAATTTTTTTTTTAAAAAAGCTACATTCAGAGTTTGAGTTTTGCTCAGTTCTAAAAATTAAAAAGTAATAGTATTATTAAATAGGATATGTTAGCTTGATCTAAATATGGTCATACTTAAGAATAGATCAATGAAATAAGTGGTACTTTATCTTGTTTGGTTTCAGCAGATGCAGGCTATGGCTATGTCTGGGTTCAATTCAGTTTTTTTTTTTAAAGCAATGGGATCAGAACACTTGATTTCCCTACAGTTTCTACAGTGAAGTAATTTTCAGGGGTGGATTTCTGTTTTGAGTTTTGGACTATATGTCATTTTCATTCTCTGAGATCCTCTTAGGGCTGCATTGATTGCCAAAATGCCCCTTTCTTTTGGAAATGGTTGGAAGTCCACTTCTGGTTTTGAAAAATTAGAATTTGTATTTATTGAAGAGTAATCCTGCAACTAATTTAAATGCTTCAAGAATTGAAATTCATCTTTTTTTAGTTAGAAAAAGGACAGTTCAGGGAATGAAGGCCACACAAACAATGTTCGGGCTAAATATAGGCCCAAGGATACATTTTGTGTTCTCCTGCCCTGAGGTTATCTCCTTCAGGGTTACACAGAGGTTGTTGGAGTGAAGTTGTTGCCTAAGTTGATGGGTAGGAATCTGACTCCCCAGATGTCCCTGAAGTGACACTTCCAGTAGCTCTATTGGAGCCTCTGATGGCACAATGAGTTAAATCCTTGTGCTGGCAAGACCGCTGACCGAAAGGTCCAGGGAGCAGGGTGAGCTCCCGTCTGTCAGCTCCAGTTTTCCATGCGGGGACATGAGAGAAGCCTCCCAAAAGAATGGTAACACATCTGGGTGTCCCCTGGGCAACGTCCTTTCAGACGGCCAATTCTTTCATAACAGAAACAACTTGCAGTTTCTCAAGTCACTCCTGACACGAAAAAAGTAGCTCTACTTAGTTCAACCAATGTTGAAGAATCCTGGGAGCAGTTCAATGACATCTGGAGAGCCATACAGTTTTCACCATTGATGCTCCACATTTTAGCTCTAGCTTGTGAAAACAGAAACCTTTCACTGTCATGTTAGATATGATAAGGCCTTTGAATAGCTTAATTTCATAAAGGAATTCTGGGAATTCTTTATGGAATCAGGACCTCAAAGGCTGAATATTATTTGATAAATGGTTAAGAGGAGAGAGACTCAAAATCTCTGTATATCCTGCAATTGAAACATGGGGTCACAAAAAAGAAAGGAGGAGAGTAAGAAAGAGAAAAATATAATTATTGAACTGGGAGTGAGTAGAAGTAAGAGAAGAAATAGAGGGAAACAGAAGCACATGGGGGAGAGGGGGGTTAGATGTGATTCAAGCAGTGCCTATTGAGTAGTAGAGATTATAAAAATAAAGTCAACAGGGTTTTTAAAGTCTTTTACCCTGTATGAAGTTCTTTTTGACCTTACAGCCTTCCCTTTATTTCCATGAGATTTTATGTAGGCAATTGTTTTCTGGCATTAATCCCAGAGCAGTCAGGACAGAGATCTCTGAAATGGGGCATTATTCTACATACGTTAGTCATGGCCCAATGTTATTGTAGCTCTGGATAAACTGGAGACAGTTTTTAAAAATATGTTGTGATCAAAGTATGTTAAAACTGGATTGGAAAAGGTTGCATGCAACTTTTATTGCTGTCATAATAGGAATTGTTGCTCTCTGACCAGTAATTTGAAAGTGGCAAAGTCTTTATGAATTAATCTGTCTTGTGTGTGCCTGGTCTTGGGTATTGTGAAAGTCAGCAATAGCAAGGATCTCAAATGGTTTTAGCTTTCTAAGGTAGGGATGAGTACACACCAGCTTTTCATAAGACCTATTTTTTATTAACATAAACCCCAAAATTGACCACGTTGAGCCTAGCATAAAATGGCAGGAGGTAGAGAAAGTGATAAATGGTGATTTAGGAGACATAAACTGGTATGCTGTGACATTGCTTACAATAAAGACTCCATTCATCCTTATGCAGCAAGTGTTTGCATGCTGCTCCTGTTCTATCTTTCCCACATGATGTGAGACTACTACAGATAGTGCAATACAAGTGCAATGCAACAGTATAGTAAGTGTAATGGGAAGGCTGAAAGTAAAAAGGGAAAGCAAAAAAAAGAAAAAAGGACAGTTTCTCCCTGAAGAGATGTTCAATGTATTGTTGAAGGCTTTCATGGTCAGAATCACTGGGATGCTGTAGGCTTTTTGGGCTGTATGGCCATATTCTAGAAACATTCTCTCCTGACGTTTCGCATGCATCTGTGGCAGGCATCCTCACAACCTCTGAGGATTCCTGCCATAGATGTAGGCGAAACGTCAAGAGAAAATGCTTCTAGAACATGACCATGCAGCCCAGAACACCTACAACAACCTTCCTCCCCCCAAAAAGATCCAAGAGTTCTAGGTGTATGCTCATGTATACACATATCCATATGGCTAGGGCCAGTTATTTTCATAATTATGTTCATGGCTGCATTCATACAAAACTAATCCCAGAAAAAAAATAGTCAAGAATTGGAAATGAAAGGGTATTTAAAAATTTATTTATGTGCTTATAATGCATATATTAAGTTATTTATTATTAACTTTATTTCTACCTTGCCCTTTTACCTATGGGGGCTCAAGGCAGCTTACAATATGACACAAGCCAATAAATTTAAAAGCATGGCAAATACAAATATTAAAAACAATTAAATATATATGACATGGATGTAAGTTAAAATACAGTGAAGAGACAGTAAAAATACTCCTACAGTTAAAATTATATTTAAAGCTAAATATTCTCCTTAACTCCACCTCCACCCCATCCCCCATCAGTGTGCCCCTCATCGTCCCACATATACCTGATGGCAAAGAAAAGTCTTGTCAAGCAGGAATCAGACCAACTGGTTTCTCTTGGGAGGTAGTTACAAAGTCTGGGATCAGCCACTGAAAAGACCCTGTCTCTTGATCTCACCAAATGTGCTTAAGTGTGTGGTGGGACAGAGAAAAGGTCCCTCTCCAGAAGATTGTAGATTTCTGAGAAGTTCATGTAGAGAGATGCAATCCTTTAATTAACCTGGACCTCATCTGTATATATATATCATTCATCCACCCAGCAGAATTGTGTGGCCCCCCAGATGTTTTTGGATTGCACTTCCAGATTTTCTTACCATTTAGATTCTGGCTAAAACTGCTGTCAGTTGCTGTCCCGACAACATCTGAAGGGCTATGCAGTTCTAACCCCTGAACTAGCCACTTGTTATCAGTTTTCTTCCATCCTCAGTTCCAAGGTGCATAGGAATTCCTCTTTCTTCCCTCCCCCAATAATAGTCCGTTTTGTGACTATAAATTGTTTCATTTGAAGAAATAGAAAATTGGAAGGGGGTATTATGCAGAATATTGTAAAAACAAACAAGATGTTAATTTCATAGGGCTTTGAGAGGTATATGGCCCGGTTTTTTATAGTACGATTGGAATATGACAAATTTCCAAAAGTTTTGAATTTAGTTAAATTTAATACTTGGACAGACTCCTGCTTTTAACACTCCTACACTATTGCCTACATCTAAAGAGAGACATCCTTTATTGATTGAGTTATGGGAAATGGTGTGTCTTCATTATCATTGGATTAACACAGTGGAAGCGATGTGGGGTGGAAAAGTGGAGAGATCTAAGAAAAGCTGAGAAATTTTAGCTACACTATTGAGGTTCTTGCTTTAGTTGCATTTAAAAATTTCTATGATTGTGTGATGCACCGTCTATATTAATCTTTAGATTGAGCAAAGTTGAGTTTTTGTCTAATGCCATACATATCCATACTTCTGATAATTAACCTGATTTATGTTGATTGAATTGATGGTAACATTTGAATCTGCTTCATAGTGAAATAATAAATTGGTAAGTCAGTGGCATTTTACTTACATCACCCTTTCCAAACTTGCTCATATTTAGACATTTTGAATTGCAACACATCTATTCTGAGTGGTGATAGGAATATAGTCTATGTTTGTAAAATACCAGTTTGGGGAGATTTGTCTATTCTTGATTGGTGATGGGTCTCTGAAATTTCAGTTACCATTTCTTAATCCTACCTGGCAATTGAACCTGAGATCTGCTGAATGCCAAGCATTCGTTGTAAATAATTTCATGTGGCTCTGGGACTTGTGAGATATGAGAAAGTGTTGTTCATTCCATCATCCACAAATGATCAGTTATTGTTGAAGCAGTTAGTTCTTTTTTGCTGGTTACAACATACCAAGAAAGTACCGTATTGTATATTTCAGTAACTCATACTGTGCATTCTATCTTGCAAGTTTTAGTTTGCTTTCTGAAAATAGTTATGTTAAACACAATGTTTTTATATAAATATATGAGTGAAAATAGCTCATGGTGTACTGTATAAGATTGAAGTTATGAGATTTTTCTCATTTATTCCATCCTGAGTCATCCCCATGACTTCTACAGGCCAATGGCCAGAGTTTGGGAAAGCTATTTTTAGACTAAAATACCCATAACCTCCTAGCATAGCCACTCGCCATACTGGATGTGTTTGAGAGTTGTGGTCTGTAAACAATTTCTCTGAAAATAAACTATTTTGTGTCTGAGCTAAGCAAAAGTTTATTTAGTCCACAAAATGTATATATTCAATCAGTTGTATCTGAGTAATAGAAACATATCTATCTGACTTGATATTTTCACTGCATGGTAGTTGGAATTACGTTTCAACC